AGTTCTGTTGCCTCCAGGCGCTGTGGTTTCAGCAGCGGCGCCAGGCCCGCCCCGCGCGCGCAGCCCCTGAGCCTCCCGGCTGGAGGTGCCTCCCGGGGTTGCTGCCGGCGGAGCCTGGAGAGCTGCACGCAGCAGCGAGGCGTCTGGCCCTCGCTAAGTGGCAGCTGTCACCACAACTACCATGATTACTAATAAAAGGTAACCCACAGCCAGCCTCTCTGTGGCCAACAATGTGGTGTTTATCTGGTGTGTGGAATGCATGTGGAAAATACTCCCACTAACAAAACTGCGGCCACGCCCTGACCTGGGTTTCTAGCCAGGATTACCCACCCCAGCAGCGAGGACACGGGGCGGAGGACACACCAGTTTTCGGAGCCCCACCCCGTGACACTTCTCGCCCTTAGCTGTGGCCTCTCGCAGGTCCTGAGCCGATTCTGTGCACTTCCGGGGGGTGTGTGGAACCCAGTGAGAAGCATCCGCAGTTGGGTTAGACTAAGTGTTAGTTTACTAAGTCAGGATATGAAATAGTATCCGAAGGCGGCCACCGAGAGTAACCGCCGCCCCCCCACGTGTGTGCACGCTCCGCGGGGCTCAGCCCCAGGACATAGTCCCTGAGCAAGGTGTCGCTTGATGGTTTTACACGCTTCTGTTTTTACTCCCTTGAGACCTTACTTGCAGAGGTTAAATAGCATGTGCATCTGTATCATCGCTGGTTGGTACAGAATCCTTTTGTTCTTTACTCTCCCTCCCTCTTTCCCCTCCTCCTTCAGCCTCACAAAACGGGTAGTGTGCTTCTTAGGGCCTGTCATTTGGATTCGTGCAGTTGGCGTTAGATATGCGTCTCTCACTCTACTCCCTTTTCAAACGGCCGGCGCAGTGCGTGGAAGGCCCACCCGCGGTTTGCTGTGTTCTGCACCTGCCCCGGTGGAGCCGAGGCCACCGCGCAGCTCCCAGCCACCGCGCAGAACACTGCGAGGCACATCCCCGCACGTGTTTCTTTGCGGGCGGGTCGGGATTCCTTCGGGGCGTCCGGCCAGGAGAGAAACTGCTGAGTCAGAGGCCGCGTCACCATTGAATTCCCTGAATCGTGCCAGGTCCCTTCCTCAGAACTGCAGGCACCACGCTCACCGGAGGGGCACCTGAGCCTTCTCCTGTCTGTGCGACTCTGACCTCGCCTGACACTCCCCGACCTCGGAATTTTCTCCAGGCCAATGGATGCAAAGTGGTATCTCCCTGTTGTTTCGATGTGCAGTTCCCTGATGACCAATGAGTTGGAACATCTCTAGCTTTTGCGGTTCTGTTTCTACAAATAGCCGGTTCCCATCCTCTACTCACTGTCCCCAAGGGGAGCCACCGTTTTTCTTATTGATTCACAGAGGCACCTTAGAGTATTTTTTAATTTAATTTTTTAATCCTCCCCTGAAGATAGGTTGTTACTGATTTTTAGAGAGAGAGAGAGAGAGAGGAAGGGGGGCGGGGGGGGAGTGGAAAGAGAGAGAGAAAGAAACATCGATGAGAGAGAGAAACTTAGATCGTTGCCTCCTGCGCATGCCCTGATGGGGTACTGAACCCGCAACATTCTGGTGTATGGGACGACACTCCAACCGAGTGAGCCACCCAGACAGAGTGATGCTTCTTGCATCCTATAGGTTCTAGTCCCTTGTCCATTTCTCATGTTACATGGAGCTTCTCCCCTTCTGACAAACGCCTATTCATGGTCCCTTTTACCTTCCTTTAACCTCAGCTCTTAATTTTGACATAATCACAAACTCATCACTCTTTTGTCCTAGGACCTGTGCTTTTTGAAGTCTTAAGAGTCACTCCTTGTCACAGAGATGCACAGACGTCCTCTTTGATTTTCTGCTGTTAACTTCTGCATATTGGTCTTTAATACACGTGGAGTCTTATCTTCGTGGGTGGTGTTACAGAGGAACCTAGGTTTATTGCTTTATTTTAAATTTTTATTCTGCTCTTTATTTGTCTTTTTTCTGTTTTTTTTTTTAAACTTATTTTTCAACTCCCAGTGACATTCCATATTGTTTTACATCAGTGTCAGGCGTACAGCATAGCGGTGAGCCGGGTAAGTCATTTACAAAGGGTTCCCCCACTAAGCCTAGTCTCCACCCGGCCCCGTACGTAGTCATTACAGTAACGCTGACTATCTTCTCTAGGTTAATTTTCCTCTGCACAGTGAGCCAGTCTTCCCTATGCCACTTAGTAACATACTGTCATTCCCCCATTCATTGGGGTTGCTACTTTATCCTAGTTTATATATGTTCAAGAACACTACGTTGCGTTCTCACGGGCCTCCTTCTGAGCTCCTTCTTCGGTGTCGCTGGGCCAGGTGTTGGCTCTTGCGTTAACGCCACACTTTTTTTCCACATGTGTGAATCGTGTTCTGTAGTATGTCTTAATACCTAGTAGGGCAAGAAACTTACTGCTTGCCCCACCACGGCCCGAGTCTCTTGCCACTTACATCACCAAGCAGGAAACACTCCGATCTTCTCCGCCCTTCACGGAGACTGCTTGCAGGTTCCCATCCCCTCCTGCTTCTCGGGAGTTGGCCTCCCTGCTGGAAAAGACACGTACGAGGAGACAAAGGCAGACCTACCCAGGAAAACTGGCGCAATGTCTTAGCTCATCTTTGAGTTCCTAGACACTTTCTTTCCCCATCGCCTCGTCTGTATCCGCACACTGAGAACCAGCGGCAGTAGCTCACTCAGGTCCTTGAGGTTTTTCCTCTGTTTCAAGCCCAGATGTCGGGAGTCCATGCTGGGAGCAGGTGTTTAAGCAAGTCAGCAAAAAGGCAGGCTTTTCTTCTTACTTCTTGTGGTCCCATCTTTATCCTGTGGCTTTCAGCCTCAGGGAGCGGCGTGGCTGGCCCACCTCAGCGCGCCCACGTCCCAGGTGAGAAGAAGGGGGAGGCCCCAACGTGCATCCTCTCTTTTCCCAGCAAAATGAAAACTTCCCCGGGAAACCCAGCCACTAGGTTTCAGCTTATATCTTACTGCTTGGAGCCAGGTCACGTGGCCACCTGCAGGTAGGGTGAGTAGCTTTAACTGGGTCACGTGCCGCCCTGAGTAATAGTTGGCCTCAGAGGACAATGCACTGGGGAGGATCATCGCCTTATCTCAATTTCGCCCAACTTGCCCTGTGCGGAGTCAGACTAGTTCATCCACCTCGGCCTCCCTGCGCACGCACCTCCCCCGCCCCGCACGATGTCTCGCGCACCCCTGAGCCTACGCTTGACCAGGGGTGCGTCTGGGCTCTGCAATCAGGTGGCGGTGACACAGAGATGAGATGAGTACAGAATCAAGCTCACTGCTTCTCCCATACTTTTCTTCCTAATTTTAGCAAAATGTTCCATCAGCACACTACCTTTAAACTGACCAAAGAAACTAGACACGGCTCAAACGCCCATTCACAGTAAACACCAGTAAATAGAGTAGATTTTTCTAAAAATGGTTTTATTCATTTTCAGAGAGAGGGGAAAGGAGGGAGAGAAGGAGAGAAACATCAGTGTGTGGTTGCCTCTCACTCGCCCCCTACTGGAGACTTGGCCTGCAACCCAAGCATGTGCCCTGACTGGGAATCGAACCAGCGACCCTTCTGTGGGCAGGCCGGTGCTCACTCCACTGAGCCATGCCAGCCAGGGCACACGGAGTACATTGACACACTAGGCTGCTGTGCAGCAATGGGATGTTGACAACTATAGACAAAAATCTGTAGTTGAGGAACCACACAGATAAGTAGCGTGGGATTTTATTTAGATAGATTTATTATATTTCTAGAAATCTATTTAGACAAATACATTTATATGTCATTATGCAAAGCTTAACTAAACTAGTGTTGTTTGCTCAGGGAATTTCCGAAGCTGGTCGCAGTGTGTATTTGATTTTAACAGGTTCCTGGGACCCGCCCAGCCTGTTCCCACCTGGGAGCCTTTGTCCTTCTCTCTGTCTGAAACAGAAGACCCCCAGGGATTTGCGAGGGCGGTCCCTGCCGCCCTGCCGGTCTCAGCTCAGATGCCACCTGCTAGTGTCCCAGGGCCGCTGTGACAAATTACCACAAACGTAGAGGCTTAAACCAACGCTAATTTATTCTCTCCCAGTTCCCGTGGTCCAGACGGGCCTCCGTGGGCCATAAGGAGGACGGAGGCTCCAGGGGAGCATCCTCGGAGCTTTCCCGGCTGCTACAGGCCCCCTACCTTTCCGGGCTCACGCCGCTTCCAGCGTCATCAAAACCGGCAGTTGAGCATCATCTCATCTCTCATTCTGACCCCACCTTGGGATTATACTGGCCCCACCTGGATAATCCTTCCATCTCAAGATCCTTCATTTAGTCACCTCTGCAAAGCCCCTCGGCCGCGTACGGTCCCGGTTTGTGCGTGTAGGATGGGGACCCCTTTGGGGGCGGGTGTCACACGGCCGTCCGCCCCCTGTGTGACCGCCCAGGGTAAGCGGGCCCCTCCCTCAACATTTCTTCTCTTTCCTTGTGCCTCATCCTCATGTTATTTCTGTCATTCGTATATTTACCATCGCACCTAATGGATTTGCCTGTCTCCTCTCCCTGAAAAGGGAGCTCCAAGAGGCAGGGATTTTTTTCTCTTCGGCCTGTTGAAGGCTCCCAGCCTCTGAAATGTGTCTGGCACACAACAGCCAGACGCTCGGTCAATATTTGTGAAGAAAGTGAAAAGCGGCTGGAGTGGACCCGTTTTTTGCCACCGAAAGAAACTTCCAGAGCAAGCACAGGAATTGGGGGGGCGCGGTGAAGGGACTTGCTCCTGGCTGCCCGCCCCTCCAGGGCGCGCAGCAGGGAGGAGACCACACACACAGGCCACTTCTCCTTGGACGCTTTATTTCCGGCCATTCTGGGAAGGGTCCCCAGGACCCACCGGGAGAGATGGGCGCAGTCCACTGCCAGGCAGGGGGGACCTGGAAACTCGGCGGGGGGCTGGAGCGTAACATCTCCAACATCCAGGGGAAAAAAAGGGGGTTCTGGAAGGAGCGCCAGGTCCTTGCAGCGGCGGGGACTTGCAGGGGCTGGGGGCCCAGAATGCCGGGGGTGCTGGGGCGGCTCAGGGGTTGGCTTTGATGGTGTCCTGGATCCACTTGGTGAACTTGCAGAGGTTGGTGTAGACCCCGGGTTTGTTGGGCTTACCGCAGGGGAAGTCTCCCCAGGACACGATGCCCTGTAGGGTGTTGTTGCAGACCACGGGCCCCCCGGAATCGCCCTGTAGGGGAGAAAGGGAGGCAGAAGGAGGAGAGGTGGGGGGAGGGGGAGAGAGGGGGCCCCCCCGCACAGATGAAGAAGGGCCAGGCAGCAAGAGACAGAGACAGAGATGGAAAGGTAGGTAGATGAAGAGACACAGGTAGAGAGAGCGTATTAGCATTGCAGCCGGCATCTGAGTAGGACCGTCGCTACCTACGCAACCGGGCCTGACCCCTCATTGCACCTATTTCTCTTCTCTCCTCCAGGCTCGCGGTGCCGCCTTCCTCCCACTGCACCCCTCACTCTCTGCCCATCCCTGACACCAGTACTTCTCGTGGTTAGACCTTAGTGAGACCTGCTTTTTCCGAGATGCAGTTCTCGGCTCCTGGAAGAGTGCGTCTCACGCCGGGCCCCTCTCACGCTGGGGCCACGGAAAGCTTTGCTGTGGGAGGCTGTTCTGTGTTGTCATAGCAGCAGCATCCTTGGCCTCTGCCGACTGGCCATCAGCAACTGCCCTCCTTTCTCTCCCCTCCCCCACCCCCTGCACCGCTGTGACAACCCAAAATAGCTCCCAGCATCGTCACATGTCCCCTGGGGGTGCAGAGTCACCCCCAGTTAAAACCCGTGAGTGAAAAGGAAGCTACCGGGCAAGTGTGAAAAATTGGTAACGGAAAGTAACCCCACGGGATGTTCTGATCCTTAAAAAAAGAAAAGTCCTCATTGAGTGGGTTATTGCCAGAAGGCGTGTCCTGTATGACAGGTTAACCATCACCTTGAGCAAGGCCTGTCCGTTGGTTCTGTGCACCTGGACTAAAAACAGAATATGCCTGAAGGATCTCCTCTCCAGCCTGTGAAGATTAAATACCCTGATACCATGATGAGAGGACCCGGATGTTCCTCATTGTTTTCTTTTACCCCGAGCGACTACTACATATATGCGATAGGAACTATCCTGCATCTGCCATAAAAGAAACATGTATCTCCCCATGTTACTTTGTATCCCTCCCCTCTGATCCCCCCGGCCTCCGATTTCTGCCGCCTCCTTAATCTACCACCAATGAACATCATGTGACCTTCCTTACATCTTCTCCACTGATTCTAAGGATGAAAGAAACTACAAGACTGCTATTCCCTGGAGCGTTTTTCTCAATCCTTTGAAACTTTGCTTCTGGGTCTGGCTCCAATAAACTCTTCAAACTTTACTTGAGGCTTGGAACTTCTTTTGTAGCTGGAACTGCCCCCTTGGACTAATTTGGGTTGCTGATCCTTACTTCTCTAGCCAGTAATTATTCTCCTATAATAATACTCGCCACTCTTTACTGTCATTTCTTATTTGTTCATACAAAATACGAATGACTTCACAGAGCCTGGTATCAATAAGGAAGACTAAGACCTGGTTTCTTTCCCCACTAGCGGATACTGTTTCCAGGCGGAAACGTTTGGCTCCCCAGAACCCTCCATTTCAACTTTCCTGTGGCTTAATTTTTCTCATGATTTTTTGTTTCATATCCCTGCAGAGTTACTTTGGAGATGCAGTCAGTTAAGTGCATTGAGCCTTGGCTCCTTGTCTGTAAAACAGAGCTAATAATAACAACGCATAAAGGACTTCATCAGTCGGTGGATGTGAGCTACCTAAAACCGAGTCCAGCCATTAGCTGCTGTCATTAGACTGCATATGTTAAAATTGTTGTTGTTCTTTCTTGCTGTTCGTGGCCTAGCCCAGACCACACGCTGGCATGAAAAAGCAACCTGTAATATACACACAAAACAAAACGAAATCCAAAACCCAAAACAACAAAAACACAGGCACTCAGCTTGCCGAGAGAAAGGCTGAATGGCTTAAAACGCTGCCATTCAAATCAGACCTGCTTTCTTCTGATAAGCACCCCTCGCCCCCTGCCATGGAATTGAAATTGGGAGACTGGGAAGCTGTTGAAATGGTCACATTTATAAAATTGGCGGCGGGGGGTGGTGGTGGTGAAGAGCTTGATAATTTTTATCCCACTAGACCCCTCGCGGGCTGGAATACAAGCGAAGGTTCCTGATCGCTGTCTTGCTGTCCACCATCCTCGATGGAAATGACTTCCATGAGAACCCAGGGAGGCCCTGTGTCGGGGGTCAGGAAGGACTGCTGAACAGTGGCCCCCACCCACCTCTCCAGCCCCAACCCCTCCTGGCCCCATCAGTCCGCTAACACTGGCCCCAGACACAGTGGCTTCCACCTGTTCTTTGATCAGCCCAAGTTCTCCCTGCCTCAGGGCCTTTGCTCGTACTTTACATGCCCTTTAACCTTTGGGAGGCAGGCTGCTGTGCTTCTCTCAGTCCCTGTTTAAAAGCCCCCTCTCCAGGAGGCCTTCCTAACCTCCATTCTGAACACGCCCTTATCACTCGCTATCCGAAAACGATGTGTTTCTTTTCTGCACAGCCCTTACCACTCTCTGAAATTACTCTGTTTAGGCAGTTTCTTGTCCATGTTTCTTCACCAACTTTGTTACCGATATTCTATATTAACAGTTGTCTCTCTGTTTTTAAAAAGTACCTAGCAGGGGTTTCTGTTTTCACCCCTCAAGACACCTTATTAGCATCTGCCGAACTTTCATGCTGCAAGACATATAACTGCCATCTGCTTGAAATTTGCCAAAATAAACAGGCCAAACTGCGATGTCCATTAGGTGAAGGGGGCCCCTTTGGATTTGATCTCTTTGCGCAGTGCCCAGCCTGCCCAACCGCACAAAGCAGCCGTAGCGCGCTCTCTCCATCTGGGCTGCCTGTGCAGTAGCCGCCAGCCGCGAGGCGCCGGGGAGCTCGTGAGAGCGGCTGGCCCACATCGAGATAAAAATCACACTGGCTTTCAAAGGCCGACTATTGGGAAAAAAAAAAAAGAATGTACAATGTCTCCTTCCTAATTATTTTCTATTAATTACATTTTGAAATGATGGTACTGGAGATACATGGGGGTAAATATACTATGAATATTGTTAATTTCACCTGTTTCTTTAAAAAAAAAATGCTGCTACTGTGCCCTGGCCGGGTGGCTCAGTTGGTTGGAGCATCATCTCATACAGCAAAAGGGTGCAGGTTCAATCCCCGGTCAGGGCACATGCCTATCCTAGTCAGGGCGTGTACAAGAAGAGGCAACCGATGGACGTTTCTCACATCGATGTTTCTCTTTCTTTTTCTTTCTCTTTCTCTGAGATCAGTGAATGTACCTTGAGTGAGAAGTGAAAAAGTGTTGCTACTGAACAATTTAAAATTGCACGTATGCCTCATGTTGTATTGCTTTTGGGCTGCGCTGTTCCACACTACGAGCTCCATGGGAACAGGGGTCCTAACGCATCTGGTCATTGCCGGATTCTCAGCGCTGAGCCGGGCTCCCGGTTTCGAGCTGGCACATCGTGTGTGTCTGATGACCGAACAGGGACGTCTCGGCTCTCACCTGGCAGGAGTCTCTGCCTACTTCATCGCCAGCGCAGAACATGGTGTCATCTATCTGTCCCGGGTAGGACTCCTTGCACTTTTCGCGACTTAGCACAGTGATGTTCAAGCACTGCAGGACCTTGGGGAAGTTAACTGTCAAATGGAGACACAGAGAGGAGGGCCACAGTGAGCGGCGGAGGAAGTCGGGGAGGCCGGGGGAAGGCCGCCGTGGGTGAGCCGCAGGAGCCGCTTGGACACTCACCCTGGGGACTGCTGGTTGTTCCCCAGCCAGACACCATGCAGCTGGTCCCGGCAGTGGGACAGCAGGAGGAGATGTTGATCGGCTTGACGGCCAGAGTCTCCTGGACCCTTCGGTTCAGCTTGATGAGCATGAGGTCATTGGAGTGGGCAGGGTGGGAGTAGCCAGGGTGGGGGATGGTTTTGACCCCTCGAAACATCTGCTGCCCATGTTCATACATGGGTGACAGGGAATGGTGGCCGAGGCGGATTTTGACAACCCTGAGGAGGATGACACGGGTCACCGCCCGCCCTGAATTCTATCCCCGTATCCAATACCGACCGCAGCCACAAAACCAGGCCCAGCCCCGGGTCCGCCCCGGCCTCCACCGCGGCCCCCCGACCATCTACATCTCCAGCCCCAGCGCTGTCCCCACCCTAACCCCGTCTCCAGCTCATGGCCACCACCCCCAACCCACCCCGAAGCCACCAACATACGCGTCACCTCAAACCCAACCATCCCCAACCCATGCCGCTCCAACCGCGACGCCATCCTTAACCTCAGGGCTGTGCCCAGTGTCCACGGCCCCGGTGCCCCCCATCTCCACCTGCTTCCAACTCTAGAGCCGAGCCTAACTCCCCCTCCCTCCCAGACCCCTGACCGGTGCGCGCACGCCCACCCCCATTCCCACCCTCAAGCCCAACTCTAAACCCATCCCTAATCCCTTACCCGCCCCCAAGACATCAACCTAGGCATTCCTGACCCCAAATCCAACCCCTCCCTCCCTCCCGCGCCCCACGACCCTCTCCCCGACTTAACCCCACCCCCACCCGGCTCCTTCTCCCACCTCCGTCCGGGCTCCCAGCCCCACCCCTTCCTCCTCTCGCTCCTCGGTGCCCGCCCCGTCTCCGCCGACCGGCCTCGCCGCCTCCCCCCCCCCCCCCTCCCCCAGCCCCGGCCAGCCGCGCCCCCGGAGCCCCACTCACTTCTTCCAGCAGTGGGCGGCGGTGAGCAGCCACTGCGGGTGCACCAGCACGGCCCCGCAGTACAGCTGGTCGGGCTTCAGCAGCAGAGAAGCCTGCCAGGGCTGCGCGTGCGGCTCGCAGTCGGTCCCGTTGACGATGCGGTTGCCGCTGCTGTTGCTGCCGCTGCTGCTGCCGCTGCTGCTGCTGCTGCTGCTGCTGCCGCTGCTGCTGCTGCTGCTGCTGCTGCTGCTGCTGCTGCTGCTGCTGCCGTTGTCCATCTGCGTGTCCCCTCTGGCCTCAGCCCCAAAGTCCTGGGTGCTCCCAGAGGCCCCCTTGGTAGGGGGGTTGTTGCAGGAAACAAACTCATTTGCAAGGACAGGCTCTGGGGGCAGAAAATGGGCGAGAAGGGGCTTGGGAGTGGAGCTTGAACTCAGAGGGTGGGTCTTAGAAGGTCAGGGCCTTCCCTCGCCCTCCTGCCCTCATTCCCTCCCTCCCTCCCTCCCGTCTTCCTTCCTTTTTTGGGATGTCTCATTTCTGAAGGGCGCTTTCCTTGAGAAATCTGGCCCAGGGGTTGAGGGGCGGGACCAGGGCTCCAGAGGCAGAGCTTGGAGAATAGGTGTGGAACTACCGAGAGGGGGCGAAGCTTAGAACTCAAGGGCAGTGTCCTGGCTCAGGCGGTGAGACCGGACTCTGACCGGACCGCGAGGTTCCTAGGAGTAGTTCGAGCTTAGTGGGTGGGGGCAGGGGATGGTAAAAAAAAAAAAAAAAAAAAAAAAAAAAAAAAAAATTGGACCTCAGGGGCGGAGCCAAGGGCCAGGGGGTGGAGCTTGGATTGTTCAAGGGGTGAGGCCTGGGGATAAGCCAGAGAATAGGGCTTTAGGGGTAGGACCTGATTCAGGAAACGCTGTCATTGAGGGTGGGAGGAAAATGGAGAGAACCATTGTACTTGAACAATAAAAAAATAGATTAATAAAATAAAATAAAATGGCCCTGACTGGTGTGGCTCAGTGGAGTGAGTGCTTGCCTGAGAACCAAAGGGTCCCCGGTTCGATTCCCCGTCAGGCACATGCCTGGGTTGCGGGCCAGGTCCCCAGTGGGGAGCGCGTGAAACGCAAACCACACATTGATGTTCCTCTCCCTCTCTTTCCTTCCCTCCTTCCCTACCCCTCTAATAAAAAGAAAAAAGGTGGTCAGGCCTCAGTGGGCGGGGTCATGACCGGATGTGGGAGGGGCTTGGAGCCAAATTGGGTAGGGCCAAGACCAGGGTCACATGGGGGAGTCCTCCCAAAAGGAGCCTTGAATTTGGGAGAAGATGGGGAACTGGGCCCTAGGACTTGAAGACAGGAGGCGGGGTCTGGCTGAGAGGGTCGGAGGGGCGGGGCCTGGCGGGGCCTGGCGGGGCTGGGGGGCTGGGGGGTGGGGGTAGGCAGAACCCAAGGGCCCCTGACTGGTGCAGTGGAGGAAGAGGGTCAGAGTCAGGGTGCACAGGGCAGTGGGCAGGCCCGGGAGGCGAGCTCAGCTCGGGGGCTGCGAGCAGGGGAGAGCAGGGCTGGTTTTCTGCGTTGTTCTCCCACGCGCGCCTCCTGAGTGCTCCTCCCATACAGGAGTCTACAGACACGGATACCCCACTCCCTCCCCAGCCCCCCCATTTTGTTCACCCCACTCCCTTCCCAGCCCCTCCCCCCTTTTGTTCACTTCTTTATACTCTTGCTGCCGGCCCAGAGCAGCGTTACGCACACGCACACCACATCTCTCACAGACAAGAACGCACGCAGCGGCACGGAGACATGCACCGGCGCCCCAGAGACAGCCACGCACACAGCTCTGTCTCGTGGCAGGCACACTTCATAGGGACACACACTCGGGGGAGGCCTCGCCGGATCTCACACCCACGCCGCGTCTCAGCGGCCTGTCTGTACGCCTCCTATGCACACACGTGCAGTCTGCGCCCTAGAACTCCTGCGCACAGGCGCGTTGGCACCGCTACAAGATTACCCTCCGTGGACCCAGCACTGTGCACCTGGCACCACACAGCCACTGTCTCGGACGGACAGCCACGTCTGCACGCTCATCCCCCGGAGGCAGGGACGCAGCTCCACGCACAGCCGCCCCACCACACCTGCAGCCCCGGAGGGACACGCAGGCACGTGCGACTGCCCGGCCCCAGACCTCAGACCTCGGGCAGCCCGACGGCCCTAAGCGGGGCCACAGGAAAGCCTGCCCCCAGATACGGTCCCACAAGTCCCGAATATGGACATGGGCTCCCGTTCACCCAGTCCTGGAGCCAGTCACACGCGGGCCCCCTGGGGACAGGCGCTCCAGGGCCACGCAGCGTTCCCAACTCCATCCTGCACACGCGGGGTGCTGGTTACCTGTCACCCTTAGAGTCAGAGCTGTGATCAGGGCACAGGCCATCCACATCCAGGGGGGTCCCGTTGTAGCCATGGTCGCTGCACCTGGCAGGGGAGGTGGGAGAGGGAGGGCAGGTCCAGGTGAGGATGGGAACGCTTCCCCCCTCTTCCTCCCCTACCCCATTTCCCAGGGCATCCAGATGTTCAGCAGCCTCCAGTCGGGGCGAGGAGGGATGACAGATGGAGAGAGAGCTGCAGCCAAGACAAGAGCCAGACGCGGAGACGCCGGTCCCTCGCGGCCCCCCTCCCCGGGCCTCACCTGCGCGCGTCCCCCAGGTAGGGGGTGGGGAGCCTGCTCCCAGCTCGGCCGCGGACTGCTCGGGCCTGCGCCGTCCTGCCGCCGCCTCCACGTCGGCTCCGGCACAGGGCCCGGGTTATAACCTCCCACTGCCGCCTGGGGCGCATTCCCGGGTAGTGAGGCGCCCTGCCGGGCCTTAGCAATCACTCCTCCTGCCTCCCCCCACCTCCACCCCCAGAGCACCCCCCACCCAGTCCCGAAAGTCACTCCCTACCTCCCTGGCCCGGGGATGGGGACGGGTCTCCGCTCTGGGGCGCGTTTCTGGGCGCGAGGGTACTTCTTCCTTCCCCGCGCCTCCGCTCGCCCTCCGTATCACCTTTCCAACCTCTGTCTCCGTGTTTTCAAACTCTTCCACCCCTTCCTCCTTCTCTTTCTGCTTCCCTCCGAATCTTTCCGGGTCTCTTTCAGTTTAGGGCGCCCGCGGAGTATCACTTTCTGAGTCTCTCTCTCTCAACTTCCCCAGCCCCACCCCCGTGCAAGGATCCCGTCTGTGCCTCAACGTGCCTCTTTCTCTGTCCAACCTCTGTCCTCCTGTGTCTCTACGCGCTGCTCTTACCTGGGTCTCCACGATCCTCTCTCCTTTTAATGGTTCTGAATACGTAGTAGGTCAGATATACCTTGGAATTCTCAAGTGTGCTTTTTTTTTCTTTTTAATTATAAGTGATTTTTTATTTTTAATTATATTTTACTGATTACGCTATTACAGTTGTCCTGATTTTTTTCCCCCTTTGCCCCCTTCCGCCCAGCGCCCCCCACTGCCTCAGGCCGTCCCCCCACCATTGCTCATGTCCATGGGTCGTGTGTATAAATTCTTTGGCCACTCCATTTCCTATACTGTGCTTTACAGCCGCATGGCTATTCTGTAAGTACCTATTTGTACTTCTTAACCACCGCCCCCCACCTCTTCACCCATCCCCCCTACCCGACCTGGCAACCCTTAAAACCCTCTCTGTATCCATGATTCTGCCTCTGTTCTTCTTGTTTGTTTAGTTTATTTTTTAGATTTAATTGTTGATAGATATGTACTTTTGCCCTTTCATTGTTCATAGATTTGATCTTATTTTTCTTAAGTCCCTTTAACATTTCATATAATAATGGTTTGGTGATGATGAAGTCCTTTAGTTTTTTCTTGTCTGGGAAGCTCTTTATCCGCCCTTCAATTTTAAATGATAGCTTTGCTGGGTAGAACAGTCTTGGCTATATATAGGTCCCTGCTTTTCCTGACTGAATATTTCTTGATAGTTTCTTCTATCCTGCAAAGCTTCTTTTGAAGAATCAACAGATAGGCTTATGGGAACTCCCCTGCAGGTAACTAATTCCCTTTCTCTTGCTGCTTTTAAGATTCTCTCTTTATCTTTAACCTTTGGCATTTTAATTATGATGTGTCTTGACATGGGCCTCTTTGCATCCATCTTGTTAGAGACTCTCTGTGCTTCCTGGACTTGTATGTCTATTTCCTTCACCAAGTTAGGAAACTCTTCTTTCAGTATTTTTTTCAAATAGATTTCCAATTTATTGCTCTTTCTCTTCTCCTTCCGGAATCCTTATGATGCAAATGTTGTATTGCTTCAAGTTGTCCCAGAGGCTGCTTACACTATCCTCATTTTTTAAAATTCTTTTTCTTTCCTTCCTTCCTTCCTTCCTTCCTTCCTTCCTTCCTTCCTTCCTTCCTTTCTTTCCTTCTTTCCTTCTTTCCTTCCTTCTTAGACAGAGGGAAAGGGAGGGAGAAAGAGAGGGAGAGAAACATCAATGTGTGGTTGCCATTTGCGTGTCCCCCACTGGGGACCTGACCTGCAATCCAGGCATGTGGCCTGACTGGGAATTGAACTGACAACCTTTTGGTTCGCAGGCCAGTGCTCAATCCACTGAGCCACACCAGCCAGGGCATGGATTGTTTTTCCCTCTTGTAGTTCTGATTGATCGTTTTTTGCTTCCTTATGTTCCAAATCATTTATTTGATTATTGTCTTCATCCATTCTGCTGTTGTTTCCCTGTAAATTGTCCTTTATTTCAATTAGTGTATACTTCATTTCTGACTGGGTCTTTTTTATGCCGCTGAGGTCCTCACTAAGTCCCTTGAACATCCCTATAACCAGTGTTTTGAACTCTGCATCTGATAGATTGCTGATCTCCATTTCGTTTAGTTCTTTTCCTAGGTTCTTTTCTCAAAGCACCTCTTTTGCTTTGTTCTTTCATTTGGGCCATGTTTCTTTGTCTCCACATTTTGGCAGCCTCCCTGTGTTTGTTTCTATGTACTAGGTAGAGCTGCTTTGACTTCGTGTCTTGGTGGTGTGGCTTATGTAGTAGTAGCTGTCATATAGGGTCCAGTGGCACAGCCTCCCCTATCACCCAAGCGAGGTACTCGAGGTGCACCCATTGTGTGGGCTGAGTACACCCTCCTCTTGTAGTTGGGCCTTGGTTGCTGTTGGCAGATCAATGGGAGGGATTTACCCAGCTGCAAGGATTGGCTGTGACCACTGACCACCAACCTCTGCCTTCCATGGAGGGTCCGCTCTGCAGGGGCAGGGCGGTGGTGCTCCAACATGGTCTGGAGCTGTCCACTGGGTGCTCTGGCCCTGGGGTATCCCGGGTGATGCAATCCAAGGTCAACCCCCACCTGTGTTCTCTCTGTGGCCGCCCTGCCTGAACTATAAAGCAATCTGAGATGGCTGCTACTTGTGTTGGGCTTGGAGATTCCCAGACGAAGCCAAGCTGTGAATCTAGGCTGGTTGCTGCTGGTGCCAGGCCCGGGGCTCACTGAGGCCGGCTGTGGCTGGTTTGAGAGGATTTAGGAAGTTGTGAAGCACCAGCCAAGACCAGCCATTCATATGGAAAAACAGCTTGGGTGGGCCTGTAAGTTAGGCTGGGTGGAGTCTCTGGGGATCTCCAAGATGGGTCACACAGTGTTGGCCAGGTTGAGGGAGTCTCAGATATGGCACCAGCTTGCCAGCTCTGTGGAGGGAGGGTTTAGAAAAGGGACAATGGCCTCTGCTCGCCTTGATGCCAGACACCTCAGATCCTCTCTTAATGCCACTGGTGCCCTAAAGCTGCTATCCTGGTGCTGGAGCCCAGAGGGAGTGAGTCTGAGTAGGTGAGTTGGTGTGTGGGTTCTTTAAGAGGAACTGCTTGAGGCTCCGGAATTTCTTCCACCAACTCAATCCCCGCTGGCTTTTGCAGCCAGAAGTTGTGGGGACCCTGCACTGGTACCCTGGGCTGGGGGGCCTGGTGTGCGACTGGGACTCCTTGTTCCCAAGGTATTGCTCCTGAATTTTTATCCACCACACATGGGTGTGGGACCAGCCCATTCTGTATCTGTGCCCCTCCTGTTAGTCTGGATGGATGTGGCTTCTTTAATGCCATAGTTGTCACATTTCCATTCAACTCAATTTGTGACAGTTCTGAGTGACGGTTGTTCTACATTTAAGTTGTAATTTTGCTGTGGTTGTGCAAAGAGGCGAGCCATGTCTGTCTACGCCTCTATTTTGTGTCTCTGTAATTCTTTTTTTAAAGAAGATTTCATTAATTTATTTTTAGAGAGAGGAGAGGTGAGGGAGAAAGAGAGAGAAACATCGATGTGTGGTTGTGTGCCCCCAACTGGGGACCTGGCCTGCAACCCAGGCATGTGCCCTGACTGGGAATCAAACTGGGACCCTTGGATTCACAGGCCAGCACTCAATCTACTGAGCCACGCCAGCCAGGGCGCGTTTCTGTGATTCTTGGTTAATCTCTCTACACCTCTGGGTCTCTGTATCTTTCCTCCTGCATCTCTTCTCTGTGGTTCTGTCCTTTGCAATCTCTCCTCTCTCTCTCTTTCTGTTGCTGGCTCTAAGGACCTGTATCTCTGTGTCTTTCTGTCCCTCTGTCTCCCCCACCCTGCATCTTGGGCCCAGAAGACTCAGGCCCGTTTGCCCAGGGACCCCCTCGACCTCTTCTGCACTTCACCCTGGAGCTGGGACTACGGAGCAGAAAAGGGCAGGGACCCAGTCTGTGCGGTGGCCTAGCTGCACACAGGCGTGGGTGAGAGTGCTGGGCAGGGCCACCCATCGCTGAGGAAACAGGCCAAGAGGCCAGGAAGCGGGGCGGGTGGCTCCTGGCCCTTTGAGAAATGGGGCACTGGGTGGGGAACCCAAAAGGTGGCTTCTCCCTCGCCGGTCCCGGGCTGCCTGGGGTGGCTTCTCCTGACCTCTTCCCCAGCCCATCTCTTTCTGTGTGCCCACAACTCTCTGCATCCATTTCTCTCCTTCTTCTTCTTTTTTCCTTTTAATGTTTAATTGTGTAGGCTATTACAGGAAAACACGGAATAATACGCTTCATAAATTTGCGTGTCATCTTTGCACAGGGGCCTTGCTAATCTTCTCTGTGTTCATTTTAGTGCCTGGGCTGCCCAACTGAGCACTCTGCATCCATTCCTGACTGTGACCCCAAGTTTCTGTCCCCCCTTACATCCTAGGCAAGGGTCAAACACCCACTGAATGTGTATGTGCTGAGCACCTACTGTGTGCCAGGCTCAGGTCTCTCCACGAACAAAATGGACAAAGACCCCTGGAGGTGTTGCTCTTGTAGAAGTCACATTCCTTGAAGGAAAACCCTGAGCTCCTTGCTCATGTCTGTCACCCAGCACCTGTGGATGGGACTTCAGAGCCCCTGAGGCTGGTTTAGGGCACAGGGTGGGGAAAAACTTAAAAAATACAACTCTGAGCCCTGGCCAGTGCGGCTTAATTGGCTGGACCATTGTCCTGTGGACCGAAAGGTCGCGGTTTGATTCCCGGTCAGGGCACGTGCCCAGGATGTGCATTTGAAAGCCAGTCGCAGAGTGTACGAGAAGGAACCCATCAATGTCTCCCTCTCTCTCCCCCCCGCCCTTCCACTCTCTCTAAAAGAAATGAAAAAATGGTCTTGAGTGAGGATAAAGAAGTAAAAATGAAATTCTGAGGTTTATTTGGACTAGCATAATAACATTTCTCACGTTAAAGAGACAAATCTAGCAATCTAGTGCTTTCTTCGTCTTTTAAGTTTAGCTTACAAACCTTTTCATTTTAGATATTTCTTAACACACTTTTAGGGGTTCTTTATAATGATGCTCGGTCTAATTTAGAAGCTAGGTACAGTATCTTCAAACATCTTAAACCACGTTTCTAAAACGAACACATCCAATCTCTCCCGGAAGTCTTTCAACTGTCAGACAAACCTCCCAGCATTAAAATACACGTACACCCCTCCCTATGTTACATTTATAAATATGACCAAGGTTGCATTTTTTCAAGTTTCCCAACACTGGATATAAAGCTGGTATGACTCCAACTTAAAATTCACAGATCAATGACACATTGCAAGCTGAAGTCACAAGGCTGTCCCTGTAAGAAGAAAAATTCTCTTAAAACATACACGCACCTTCAGAACCAAATGTGCAAAGATTCTGCTTCAGAAAACAGTCATGTTAAAGATTGGACCTTTCAAAATTGCTCTGCTCCATTTGAAAACTTATCGGAATTGAAAGAAGGCTTTTCACGTAGCAGCGCAGTGAAGAACGCTGCCTCCTGCCAGTCAATCCCCGACTTGGCCACTAGGACCTGTGAGGCTTGGGGCCAACCATGGAGCCGCTCTGAGCCTCAGTTTCCCTACCTGTCACTAGGGAACATAAGGGTTCCTAACTCACAGGCTTGCTGTGAGGACTAAATGAGTTAATATACATATAGTCCTTAGAACAGTGCCTGGCACGTGCTGAGTGTTAATTATTATTATTATTATCCATTAAGGGAGAAGAAGAACTGAAGTTGATTCTGGTCGGGACGTTGGTGGATCGGGTTCCTCTTGGTGCTCCGGGGGCATTTCATGGCCCTGGTTTCCATGTGTAACTTGTAGAAGGGTGTGGTCACCCCGGGCCCAGTTCCTTCCTGAGACTCAACATTTCCATGTGCTCGTAAAAGGCACCTGCTGCCTCCTATCCCATCCCCTTGGTACCGTTTCGCATTTCCTTGGTTCTTAAGACGTGGAAGTGCTTTTTCTCCAACTCCAAAGATCTTTGGAACCGAGGGTCTCTGTCTCAGGGACCACATCGCCCTTCCCTCAAAAATGACACAGGGTTGACCCAAGACTGCCAATTTCATTCTACCCTGTCCTGGGCCAAATAAGGCTGCCTTAAATATTTGTGAAACAAATGGATTATCTTTTCTGACCCTCCCTCTGTTCCCAAATATGTCCTCACCCCAGCCCCACACAGGGCCCTTTATCCCCTCTCTCTGAGGCGTCACTGCCTGTCCCGCTCACCCTTCTGGGGGGACATGTGACTTAAGTGCTATTTCGTCTTCCTCAGCGATGGTGCCGTGGGGGGTTGTAAGAGAAGAATGTCCCTCTGGGGACAGGTGCAGGCCTGGGGTTCGGGGGCCGAGGGATGAACAATCGGTTTGGGTCACGTGTGCTGCACGTTGGTGGCCCCCGAGAGCAGCAGAAGCTGGGGTCCTCACCCGGCCCTGCCCGCCCGCCTCCCTCATGTCTTTGGGGGCCTCCGGCCACGCCTCCCCCCTCAAAGGGACCCCAGGGAGACCTCCCCAGCCCCCAGCCCTGACCCCCTCCTTCCTTTCTTCAAGGCCCTCCCGATCAAGGCCAGGTTCTCCTGTCTGGCATTCGAGGCCCAGCGCCGGCTCCCATTGACCTACATTTCCAGTCACGTCCCCGCTTCTCCTGTCTCAAGCCCCAGCCTCCACTGTCCTGAGCGATGTGCCAACCCCGGGGCACGCCCCCGAGCTTTTCCACAGGCTGTGCCCTCTGTGAGAAAGCCACCCACCCAAACTTCTCCTGCAGGGAATTCACGTTCAGCCTCCCCAGCGCCAGCCCCAGCTCAGCCCTCGTCTCCTCTCCGCGCACCATCCCCTCGACCTCCGGCCGACCTCCAGCCCCCCCCTACCTGCTGCGTCCTGCCCAGCTCCATGACTCCGCCTTGCTCTCAGCCTCGGGTCTGAGGTTGACCTGGTCCCCGCTCTTCCCTTCCATCCCTTTTACCTGCACACAGTGGTTCCCAACCCTTTCACCTTCCTGCTTTTACAGCTACAGAGCGGGGTTAGGGGAAAGGGCCACCCCTGAGGCTTAGCCCAAGGTGAAAGGGCCCAGGACATCTCGCTGGAGCAGAAAATACGTCAAATCAGGCAGTTAAAATAACTAATATCTGGCTTTCAGAGCAGCAGAAGGGGGAGAAAAGCAAAAAGCATCGCCAACAATGAAGCTCCCTCTTTATTGAGCAGGTGGGCGTGCCAGACGCCCATGCGCACATTTCTCACATTTCTCGCGTTAGAGACCTTGAATCCTCCCAACAGCAGCCCTGAGTTATGAGGAATTTACTGTTATTATCCCCATCGTGCAGGGGAAGGAAGGCACTTCCTAAGGGTGCATGCGTAGCGAGGGGGAGCGAGGGGCAGCGTGAGGGGAGTGTGACCCAGGTTTTTCCAGACTTGTGACCGCTCCTCTGTAGCCATGTCCATGTCTTGTGACCAAGTCCATGGGCTATCAGGCAAGGTTGGGTGGCTGCTTGGGAAGGATTTTCCTGTGTTCTCTTAGTGGTGGGGGCAAAACTTCAGCCTGTGTCCCCATTCACCCCCAGGGATGCAAGGTTGGGGCTGGAGTAAAATCAGGCAGCATTAAGCGTGAACAGTCAGACCTGGGAGGGTGCGGGGGAAGGCAAGGTCTTGGTCAGAGATATTTTAGAGCCAGCAAGTGGGGACCAAAGTCAAGAGCTGGGTGTCACATGTCAGAGCTAGTTGGCCTGAATGATTTTTCGGATCCATGGGCCATATCTGCAGACATCGGTGTAGACCCCTGGCTTCTCCTTGGATCCGCAGGGAACGTTACCCCATGATACAAGGCCTCGGAGGCGGTCTCCACACACCAGTGGTCCCCCGGAATCACCCTGTGGGAGAGAGGGAGGGAGTCAGGAATGCAGGGAGAGAAAGACAGAGACAGGAGACACAGAGACAGAGAGAGAAGGAAGAGAGACTCAGAGAGAGAGAGAGGAATACTCAGGGACAGACAGATGGGTAGACAGACACACAGTCACAGACAAGGAAGTAGAGAGACCAAGGGAGACTCGAAGCAAGGGGCAGCAGAGAGAACACGGATATCCAGAGGGGCACAGAGAGGAACAGGGAAAGGAAAAAGAATAAAGGGTAGGAACAGAACAGAGTGACAGGAGGCGGGGCGTGGGGAGAGGGGGAGGGAAAAAGAGAGAGGGATGGGCATGTCCTGTCTTTTCATCTGGACCACTGTGTCTCACTTTATCTTGGTCTCCCTCTCCTCCTTGGCTGGCCCAGAGCCTTCAAAGTTAAGTTTTGGCATAAGGCGGAGAGACCCAATGGACAACAATGGAGGAAACCCAAGTTGACGGTGATTGGGAGTTGGGGGGTGGAGCCCCTTCTCTCCCTAGCGAGGGCCCCCTCCTCCACAGCGTGGCCATGTCTGAGCAGGACTTGCGGGGTCTCTGTCTGAAGAAGGACAGTCGCCTTATGCATCTGCCTCCTCACTGTGTCTCTCGGGTTCTCCATCTCTCCATCTCCACACCTGCCTGCGTTTCCCGTCTCTGCTGGCCGGCCTCGTCTCTCTGCCTGTTCCTGACTGTGTCTCTGGGTGTCAGATGGAGTCTCTCACCCTCTTCATGCCTCAAAGCCTCTCCCGGCTTATCTCTGTAAAGCTCTGTTAGGGTCTGTGCGCGCCTCTCTCTTCCTGTCTCGGTCTGTGTTTTCGTGTCTGTCCTTTGCTATGTAACCGGCAGGCCCCGTACTCACCTGGCAGGAGTCCTTCCCGTACTTCTCATCCCCTGCGCACACCATGTTCTGGGTGATCTGGCCGGGGTAGGCGCGCTCACACTCCTCACGAGGTACCAGGTGGATGTATGCACACTGGATGGTGTTAGGAAAAATACCTGGCAAGAGACAGGCTCCATTCACAGCCCACCCTCTCTGCGTCTTCTGCAGCCGCGCTCCAGCCCCTACACTTCCTCCCTCCCCTCTTCGTCCCCATTCCCCATGGATTCCCTTCTCCCCACTTGTCTTTCATTCTTAAAACCCATTTCCTATTGGCCGTGACTCCTGACAGGTCCCTCTCGGGGTCATTCTTCTCTCCCATTGACTTGCCTTTCTCATTGGTCACCTCTTCTCCATGAGTCATTTCCTGTTGGTTTTTCCTTTTTCCTAGGTCCTGCCTCCACTTCTCTCGTCCACTGATCCCACCTTCTCCAGTAGTTCTCGTTGACCTCTGCACTCTCTTCCTGGAGTGGTGACCCCCTCTACTGTACCCCTTTGTCCTTCACTGGACCAGTCTTCCCATTGGTTCATCCTGATTGGTCACCACTTGACCGTTAGTCCTTTCCTTGCTGGTCCCCTTTTCCCACTGGCTCTCCCCTCCTGTTGGCCCCTCATCAATGGTCTACCTCCCTCATTGGTCCTTTTCTAAATGTCTGCCCTCTCCCATTGGCTCCGTCCTTCCATTGGCCCTTCATCCAATAGTCCATCTTCTTTTTTGGCCCTTCACCTATGGGCCCACCTTCAGTGGTTCCTGCTGATTTATTGGACCTGTTTCCTCCTCCTGTCTTTCCTATCGTGACTCTTGACTATTCACTCTTCGCCAGTGGTCCCTCCCCCATTAACTCTCTCTATCCCTTCACTCTCTCAATTCACATTCTTCAACTGGTTCTCCTGCTTCATTAATCTCTCTTCTTTCATTAGGCCCTCCTTTGCTTATCCCTTCTTGATCATCCGTTCATCCTGACTGGTCCCCTCTTGACAACTGGCCTTCTTCCTCACTGGTATCTGCCCATTGGCCCTCCCTCCTCATTGACCCTTCATCTTATGGCCCATCCGCCCACACCATTCATCCGTTGGTCTGCTTTCCCCATTGGCTATTTACTCATCGGCCCAGCTCCCATATTTGCCGTCCCTCCCCGTTGACCTTTCACCCAGTGATACAGGGCCCCGTTGGTTCTCATCATTGGGCCACCTTCATCTTTGACCCTCCGGTCCACCTTCTCTATGACCCGTCACCCATTGGCCTTCTCTCCCATCGCCCTTGCCCTACTGACCGTTTGCTGTCTTGCCCCAGCCTAGGATGTGGCATCTGGTGCGGCTGGCGGAGCAGTCCCCCTCCAGGGCCAGGGGCTGGATGCGTTCAGAGAGATTGGCTGGGCGCTTCAGGCGTAACAGCATGATGTCCTGGTCGTGAGTGCCAGCGTTGTAGCCGGGGTGGACCACAGTCCGGACGACAGGGCTCTGCTCCTGGAAATTCTCTGTTTCATAAATGTTGTGCTTCCCCAGGTAGACCTGAAGATTCCTGGGAAAGAGGGGGGCTGGGTCTCACCTTTAGCTCTCGGGCTGCAGCCGGGACTCCAGACGGGGCAGCAGTGGGAGCGGGGGGTGGCCTGGTACACCGTGGACTACCTGGCCTGGTTCCCTTAGCCTTCCTAGCTCAGTAAATGACAATTCTGTCTGTCTAGAGTCACCTGGGTGACTATTCCATGCCTTACCTCTACGCTGTCTGGAATTCCTTTCGTCTCTCCAGGGTATATCCAGAATTTGACCACTTCTCACTTCCTGCACTGCTACCATCTTGGTCTGAGCCAACGTCGTTGCTTACTTGGACTATAGCAGTAGCTACCTCATGGAGTCCTTGCTTCTGCCACGGGCCCTCCGTAGCCTATCTTCCACAGAGATATTTTAAGAACGTAAGTCAGCCCTGTTCTTCGTCTCCTCATGATGTGCCCATGACCCCCACCTTACTCAGAGTAAAGACCAAGCTATTCACCATGGCTCACACAGGGCTGCCCATCGCCTCGCAGGTATCTCCTCCCCTCTCCCCTCTCTCCTTCTGCCCCGGCCACGCTGGTTTCCCTGCCTTTCCTTGAACACAACAGTCACATCCTTCCACCCCAGGGCCTTTGCTCTAGCTGTCTCCTCTGCCAGCAACTTTCCCCCCAGATATCTGCATGGCTCACTCCCTCGCCTCCTTCAAAAGTCAGCTCCTTAGTGAGGCCTTCCCTGGTAACCCAATTAAGATGTAAATATCCACCCCAACAGGCATTTCCTATCTCCCTCTCCTGTTTTTCTTTCCACCAGAAACCCTATCATTATTATTTTGCGTGTATGTGTTGACTATTTACTTGTTTTATTGTCTCTTCTCCTACCAGAGATCAGTGTCCAACAAAGCTGTGTGCAATGATGAAAATTTCTCTGTGCAGTTTGATACAGTGATTGATACTGACAGGTGGTTACCGAGCCCTTGAAATGTGGATTTGAGATTTCATTTCATTTTTGTTACTGTAAGTTTAATTAGCCCTATGTGGCTGATGGCGCAGCACTAGAATATCAAGATGGGGCTTTTGTTTTGTTCATATACAGCATCCTCAGTGTCTAGACCAGTATTTGGAACATGATGGATATTCAATACACATTGTGAAATGGATCACAGAGCCACTCCCTTGCTTGCAAGCCTCCCAGAGCACCCCGCTGCCTCAGAGTAAAGCCCGAGCATCTCATCCCGCCATTCTCTGCTCCCCCGCCACCCCGTGAACTGCAACACTCCAGATTGTTCTTACTTCATGGCCTTCGTCCTCGGGTTTCCTCTGCTCCGAATGCTCTTCCCCCAACTTCCCCTCGGCAACTCTTTCCTATTTTCCGTGCCCGCTTGAATTTCATCTCATCCATCTGCAGGAGGTACCTCTGCTCTTTTCTCTCGGGGAGCCATCCCTGTTCTCCCCCTTCCCTGGATTTAGGGTGATTTGGAATTGTACAATTTTTCTGAGGGCTTTTTTTTTTGTTTTTTGTTTGTTTGTTAAGGAAGTGTCTTTCTGCCCTTATGTCCCCACTGCCAAACTCTAACCCGGCCCTGCGTGGGCACTCCGTCCACGGGCTCCGAATGAACCCATGAGGACGGCGGGAGTCGTGCCAGGTCTCCCTAAGCGTGGGGGAGACCACCCTGGCGGTCCCTGAGCCCATGACCGTGCCTGACAAGACCCCCCTCCCAACAGGGAGGTGAGGCACCTGTTGCTTTCCCCACACGTGAGCTGTCCCTTGTCATTTCTCTGAGCCTCCGTTTCCTCACCGGCAAAACGGGGCCAGCAGACCCTTAGTGTGGAATTCTTCCCAGGAATTTCATTGCCTCACTGGGCGCCGGGCCCCTATTAAGTATTGAGCAGCTGTTGTCAATCTAACATGTGGTTATTAGTCCCCTGAGGATTTGTCCCAGGCCTTCTATGCTCCTCTGTCTGTGCCCACTTTCTGGCTGATCTTACCCATCCCATGGCTTTAACCGCGCCCTGCTTTGCAGACGACACCGTAATGTTTGCCTCCGTTTCTGAGCCCTGCCCGGGGCATCAGCAGCCAGCCCAGCATCCTTCTTGGACATTTCCCAGGTCTCTCAAACTCATCTTGGTGAAAGCAAAGTGTCTGATGCTCCCCCGCCTAGAGCCAAGCAGTTTCTCTTTCCCTCTCCCACGACTCAGCAAAAGACACAGCCAAACACCCCGTCACCCGGTTCAAACACTGGGAGGCCAGTCCGGCTGGCTCTCTTTCCCTCCCATCCCGCATCACCAAGTCCTGCCGGCTCAGTCTCAAAATAACTCCCAAGGTTCCCAACTCTCGCCCATGCCCACCGTTAGCGCCCTGTCCCCAGCCACCCCTGTACGGCTCCGGGCCATGGTGGCAGCCTCCATGGTGGTAGCCCTTCCTCTCCTCTGGCCCGGTCCCCTTCCCCCAAGGCAGCCAGGGCACTTTTAACACTGAAATCAGGCCTGGCTGCTTCCCAGATGAAAGCCCTTCAGTGGCTTCCCACTGCACTTCCAACTCAGTGCATCTCTCTCTCCAAGGCCCCAGCGAGAAGGTGGTCGGCTCACGGAAGCGGCGGTTCTGCTTGTTCTATCTCCCTGCTGGACCCCCCGGGCACCCCAAACAGTGCCTGGCACAGATGTAATGCTCAGGTAAAGGCTGGCCAAATGAGGCTGCTTATCAGATGGCCTCAGCCTGGGACAGGGGATGTGTGTGTCATCTCCCGCCTGAAGTTTGCAAGATGCTGGCGCGATCGAATCGCGGCTGCTCCCTGTCCCCAGCGTGGAAACTCACGGCTTTCTGCAGTGGGCAGCGGTGAGGACCCACAGCGGGTGAATGAGGACGCCGCCGCAGAGCAGGTGGCCTGAGCTGTAGAGAGCAGCTTGGTAGGGGTGAGACATCTGGTCGCAGGGTCCGCCATGCTGCACCTTGTCCTTCAGCTCGGCCTGGGCTGAGGGAGGGAGGGTCTGGGTCAGAGAGGAGGGGTCAACTCCAGGGCGGCCTCAATCTCGTCTTAATCGGCAAGGTCGTCTCCATCCCCGCACCCAAAGCTTTCCAGCACCTTCCGGAGCCGACCCCAGCCCCCTGTCTCTTCCCCGTCTTCACTCTCACCTCCCACCCCTTCCGGGTCTGCATCCCCCATTCCCCACCCATCCTCCAACCCGCCCCACCTCCACACCTGCGGCTCCCAGAGCCCTGTCCAGTGTCTGCGCCATGGGCAACGCCCACCCCGTCTGTCCCCAAGCCTCCCCACCCCCTTCCCTTCCTTCCCACCTGCCGCAATCAGAACCAGTGCTGCAATCAGCGTCTGCATGGCCGGTCCTGGGTGGGGAAGCCAAGTGTTCCATCAGTCCTGTCTCAGACCTCACCCGCGCCCCTCCCCCTTCACCCTCCCCCTTCCTGGCCTGCCTTGCTTTCCCAGCCCTGGACTTCTGATCTTCATCCGGCCTCCAGGTTGATCCCTTGTCTCCTAGCCCCCCATCTTCCACCTGAGCGTCCCGTGAAGGCAGGTGCCGGCGAGAACCCGGCACGGCTTGCGCCAGGCCCAGGAGCCGCTCCCTGTGCGAGGCTCAGGAAGCCTTTCTACTCCTCTCAGCTCTGGTTCGCCTGCCTGGTTCAGGCGGGGCTGGCCCGGGAGGCCCTTCGAGGCCATTCGAGGCCTGTCTTTCCGTGCATTTTCCTCTCTCTGCACCTTGGCTCTGGGCTCACCCGCTGCTCCCCGCTCCCTGCTCGTAGGTTCTGCGGTGCAGTGCCGTGTGGTCTTACCTGCTGGGGGCCACTGCCTACGGGCCCGGGGGCGGGGAGGGGGGTCTCGGGTTGGGGGCGGGGACAGCACGTGGCACAGGCAGATGAACAGGGAGACAGAGTCAGAGACGCGGGAAGCTGAGGGGAGAGAAGAGACTGGCAAAGTTGTGAGGACTCCTAGGAAGGAGGGAGGGAGACAGACAGGAAGAGAAGGACAGAGAGACAGAGCAGATGCAGGGGCTTCGGGGCCCAGGGCACCAAAGACTGCCTGGCAGATCCCCCAGGGCTCAGCCTCGCTAGGATAGGCCGGTCTTGTCCCCAGAGACTCCTGCTTCTTCCTTTTAACCCCTGTCTCCCCAGGTCCTGCGGAAACTGCCCCACCCTTTTCCTCCTCACCAGGCCTCCCACACACATTCCTCCTGCTCCAGCAGCTCTGCTCCTGATGACCCCTGACCCCAGCTTCCAGGAAAGGGAGCACTGGTCCCTAAGTGCCCCAAGCCAAACTCCTGGGTCTGAGGGGGCAGGGGCTGGGGGCCCGGGGGCTCCTGGGTCTGAGCGGGGAGAGGCTGGCGGCCTGGGGGCTCCTGGGTCTGAGGGGGGAGGGGCTGGGTGCTGACTCCTGGCGCTGGGAGAGGGAAAGATGGCGGCTCGCCCTCTTCAGTCCCTGGACTTCTAGGTCCTTGAGCAAGAAAGCGTCTGAGGACCAAACGTGGGCCTCCTGGGAGAGCGGCAGTAGCCCTGGCCTCGAGGGACCCCACCACCTCTGTCTGTCGCTGCTCGGGCCCCGGGAACCAGGCCCAGGGGTTAGCCGGGTTAGGGTGACCCACGCACCTGCCTCAAGTCCCTCCGTGGGTGCTGACGACCTCCTTGTCCCCACGAGAGAGTGAGCCAGCTAGTGAGAAAGCATGTGTCACCAAGCTGGCACTCGACCCTGCCCCGGGCTGGGGCGCAGGCCCAGGCACTGCAGGGACAGTCAGGCGCTTGGAACAATCAGGCTTTGTCCGCCCGCAGCGCCCAGTGCCACGCTCCTGGCAGCTCCGTTTCCCAACCTCCCTTCCAGAAAGGCGGGTGCCAGGCGGCTGCGTCAGTAGTTCCTCTTTGTCCCTGCCTGACAGTCCTCTGGCTCTGTCCACCCACTTCTTTGATTGTCCACCCACTTCTGCCCAGACATTGGGACTCCGGGCCCTCGCGGCCGCCCTCCTCCAAGCCGGTCCACCTTGGCGGTCTCTGTCCGTTCGCCTCCCTGGCGCTGGCGACGTGTCTCCACTCCAGGAATGTGGCGATTTTCTGGGTGTTTCTCGGCGTTCATCTCAGCCTCTACCCGTGTCTCTCTGCCTCTCTGCCTCTTTTTCCATCTATTTCTCTGTGTCTGTCCTTCCCCTTGATCCTCTGAGTCTCTCTCTCTCTCTCTCTCTCTGATCTCCCCCTATTTCCAGGAGAAGCGCCTGCATGCACAGAGAGGGGCATCTGGTTCCCGGGGAGCCAGAAGGGGAGGTGTGGGGGGCGAGGCGTGGGGAGGCTGGTGGGGCACAGGAGGATTTGGGGACTTGAAATTCAGCCCCTAGGGAGAGACGTGGAAATGAGCAGGAATGCTGAGAACTTGAGCGCGATGTGGGAGTGTGGACTGGGGGCCTCGGGCTCTGCAGGGACGGCGTGAGGCGCGAGGGCCGCCGGTCCTGGAACGGCAGGTGGCCCCGGGTGTGGGCTGGAGCAGCGAGGGTGTGCGTGGCTGAGTGGAGGGAAATGCGGACGGGCGTGGTGACCGTGGGGACGGGGAGCAGCAGGGCGTGAGAAGGAGAGCGGGGGCTTTCAGGAAAGTCGTTGGGCAATGAGGACTCCTCATCTTAATAATGTCCACGGGCTCAGCACGGGCTTGGGCCCCGCGCTGCGTGTTTTCCTGCGGCAAAGCTCATTGTTGCCCCCTTTGCTTGGCCCCCATCACTCCCGGGATGAAAACCAACCTGGCCCACACGTTGATGTTTCTCGCCCTCTCTTTCTCCCCCCCCTTCCCCTCACTCTAAAAGATAAATAAAGAAAATCTTTAAAAAAAGAAAAAGAAAGAGAAAACCAATTTGGCATTGAGCATACTCGTTGGGGCTGGGACTCCCTGCCCCACCCCTTCCCGCAGGGCCTTCCCAGTCCTGTCCCCACTGAACTCAGGACCCACCCACCACCCTTGCAGGCAGCAGGCGGGAGCCCCAGGCCCTGTCCCACCGCCGCCCCTCCCCGTGGGGCTCCCTCCTCCCCATCCCCACTTGTTGGGGGGCCTCAGCTCAGACCTGAGACTCTCCCACCTCTCCCTCCGGGACCATCACCCCAGCCCCTTCCCCCTCCTCTGCACCCTTCACTCCACCCCAGAGGGTTCTTGTATCCAGAACTGGCCCGTCTTTCTCTCCCTCCTGCTCACAACCCCGCCCTGGGTCCCCCATCTCCCTGGGGACAAAGCCCTAACCCCTCATCCTGGGGTTGGAAAACCTTCAGCATCCGACATGGTGCTGGCAAGTGGAAAGATAATGCCAGGTACACGGGCACTTTGACATTTTCTAGTAGACACACACACACACACACACGCATAGTAAAACGAAGCAAGAGTTACTACCAATCTGTGCTTCTCAACGCCTTCACCTTTTTTTACCTAGTCCTGCTCAGGGGGCTGTGAAGCGCAGCACAGGAAACAGTCAATAATATCGTAATCACTGTGCGCGGTGCCAGGTGGGCACCGGAAATGCCAGGGAGCACGTTGTATATCAAGTCCATGATTGTCTAACCACCACGTGCGACACCCGAAACCAGCACAAAACAACATCGAATGTAAACTGTAATTGGAAAAATAAAATTAAAAAAATGAAAATCTCAAAAAAAAAAGAGCTCATTTTGCTATTTCATTGACCTCAATACATGCAACATATTGTCCCTCCAACATGAAATCAAAATAGGAAAAACTCAAAGGGACAGCGTGCTTGCTCATTTTTTGCACAACGAGTGTTTGGTCACTGATGTGATTTTTCCACGTCAACAGCGCGTCTCAGTTGGACCCTGCCACGTTTCAAGCAGCCGCGAGCCACGGCTGTGGCCGGTGGCCACTGTGTTACACGGAGCAGCTCTGCCTTCTGCCCTCATTGCGCTCCCGCCGTGGAGATTACTTGAAGTTTCCCTGAACCTTGCCGTGCCCTCTGACCTCTAGGCCTTCACCTATTCCATCCTCTCTTCCCAGAACGTTCTTTTCACAACTTGTCCTTCAAGTCTGCTTAGATATCACCTCCTTCAGGAAGCCTTCCCTGAACACCACCCAATTCCCACCCCCCTGTGGTTAGGTTAGTCACCCTCTTACCTAGATTCCCACAGCAGGTGCCTCCCTCCAGTCACCCTGCGCCACGACCATCTGGACTCATGTCCGCCCCTCTCCCCGCGCTGGACCGCAGGCTCCGGGAGGGCAGGCACCGGGACTGACTCACCCCTGTGTCCCAAGCACTTGCACAGGACCTGACCCAGCGGAAGCCTTAGGAAATGTTGACCCAATGACTGAATGGCTTCATTATGCCCACTCCTATTTTAGAGATAAGAAAACTGAGGCGCAGAGAGACGAAGTGAATTGCTCAACGTTAAACACCCTGGAAACGGTGGAGCCCGAAAGGAAACTCAGCCTCCAATGCCGTGGTGGGCACGACCTATTCCGGGAGCCTGCAAGGGGTCTGCCTTCCTACAGGCCAGGGTGGGTGGATGTAGGAGGAATAGCTGAGAGCCGAGGGGGGAAGAGGAAGGTGGTAGGCTGTGGGGAGTGGAGGAAACAGAGAGAGAATTAAGTCCCCAACTCCGGGGACTTGCCACTGACCTTCCGGGATTTGTCTGCACCACACACTGCACACGTGTAATCATGGAGTGTTTTTCTCCTAGTTGACATGCTCTGTGAAGTCTTCAGTAAAGAAGACGTTTTATAAGAAAACCTTACAAGAGCATAATCAGGAAAAAGTGACAGGCGTTCCAAACAATTAAAAACCAACACTCATTGAAGACTCAGCCTGTTTGAGACAACGTGCTAGCACTTTCTGGATGTTATTCAATCTTCCTTGCAGCCCTGGGAAATAGGGGTTGCTTCTCTCCTGTTGAAGATGAAGAAACAGGGAGGTAATGTGCTCAAAGGCTTACAAGAGCCAGAAGTGGGATTGGAACCCACAAAGCCCAGTTTCTAGAATTAGTGCCTTTAACTACTATGCTATGGTGTCTACCCAAAGAGAAATCACATTGTTTTTAGAAATTCAGCGAGAGGACTATCTGAAGTCATTGCAAAGCAACCCACCTCCAGACATGCACAGAGACGCTGCCAGGGGCTCCTGCTGAACTGAGTACCATTGCCGTGTTTCCTCACTTTATAAAATTTCGGACTGAATACTGATTTGGGGTAGCACTCTGGAGAGGGGGAAGTTGATGGAGCTTCATGGGGGCGGGTGACCCAAAACGCCACATGTTCCTTCGTGTCACTGTTCAGAGAAAGGGCAGTGCTCAAGACCTGGGCTCCTGGGTCTGAGGGAGGAGGGGCGGGGGGGCCTGGGCTCCTGGATCTCAAGGAGGAGGGGCTGGAGGCCTGGGCTCCTGGGTTCGAGGGAGGAGGGGCTGGGGGCCTGGACTGCTGTGTTTTGTGGGAGGAGGGGCCTTAGTTTTCTCTGAGCAGATTGTTGGTGTCTGCAGAATTTCTGCCATATGGCAGGGGGGGCGGGGCGGGGTCAAGGGAGACTCAAGAGGGAGACAAGTTGAGGAGAGGAAGTATCTGGAGGAAATTGGCCAGAAGAAAATTCTGGGAGAGAAGCTGGAGAGGCAGGTGTGAGGAGGGAGTCCTGGGCTGAAAGACCCCGCTGTCAGCAGGCAGCAGGCTGAGGTGTGACTGATTGCCGCGGGAGCCGCAGGTGGCCCCGGGCCGGGGGTGTGGCCAGGCTCTGAGTCAGGGGGGACTCCGCCCTCCTCTCTTCCAGAGGCCCCTCCCCTGAGTTCTTGGAGAACGGAAGCCCACCTACCTGGGTTCCCAGCCCCACCTTTTTCTCCTACCTGGGACCTTGGATGCTCACAGTGGCAGACCCTGGTGGGACCCCAGTGTCCGGTCTAACCTCCCTAAAACGCTCTTGCCTGGAGAAATGCTCAAAACCAGTTTCAAATGTGTTTCAACACTGATAGAATGGGCGTTTCTCATTTCTCTTTTCTCCTCCCCCTCCTCCTCCCCATCCTCTTCTTCTTTCTTCTTCTTCTTTTCTCTCTCCCCCTCCCTCCCTCCTTCTCTCGCTCGGTCCCCCATGTAATGGATGGGGAAAAAGGATACCTGGGAAATACGGAGAAACATGCCATTGGACCAGCAGAGGAGAGGGCAGGAGGCAGTGAAAGCTCATAACTGGATACCTTATCCCTTCCCATCTGCCTTTAAGGTCTCCCCTCCCCACCGGGAGCTCTTCAGGGGTTCCCACCTGTGTTTTCCAGGTTCTAGAAGTGCACAGACACAGAAAGGGAGGAAGGAAGGAAGGAGGCATTCATGACTACATCCACGTGCAGTTTGGTACATGCTCTGTCAGATTTTATTCTGTGAATATTTTACATGGTGAGTCACATGCATATATATTTGTCTTCCTTTTTTTCATTTAACATCAGATGGCATCAACATTCTTGCGTAACACTGACAACTCTGCATAATTATTATCCTGGACAGCTTCATTAATATCCTTGCCACAAATCCCTTTATTGTTTACATAAACAACCCACTGATTCAAACCTCGTTGCACATTTCTGGTTGCTGAGCATTACTGCGTCCCAGGTGGTGAATAAGCATCTTGATTTACTTTGCCCAGCTAGCTGCCTTCCAAAAATATTGTACCAATTGACAGTTCCCGTGATTGAGGTTGCTGGTCTCATTGCATCTTTACGAGCCCCGAGATTTTTTTTGTGTTTGTATTGATCTTGGTTTTTTGCTTTATTTCACTGGTTTACACACATGTAATATTGTCGAGGTTTTAATATGAGTTTGAGCAAAGGTGAAGTCAAATATGACTACAGGTCGCCGATGTCCTGATTTCTGTAAATTTCCCGTTCAAGGCACAGAGCTGGGGAGATGGGAGTTTTGGAGAGATTAGCTGTTGTTTTTCATGGTCTCCTTTATCCAACCGACGAACTTGCAGACTTGGGTATACACTCCTGGGTCGTTGGGTTGGCCACAAGGGAAAGTTCCCCAGGACACCAGGCCTTGCAGCGTGCCTCTGCACACCAGCGGTCCCCCTGAGTCACCCTGGAGGGGAGAGAGCGGATTAGCTTTGACTTCAGAGCCATCAGCACTGAGATCTCATATACCCTGAGGTTATCAAGTCACTGTCCTGCCAGACAACAGTCTTCCACCCTGGCCAATGGGAAGAGACTCATTGTCTATGTGGACCAATGGGAGAGCAGGAATTAATGTTACCATGCTGAGGACAAACCAAGTTTTCTGAAGACATCGGCTGGAGCCCCCACCAATGGGACTGATCACAGGGAGGGGGTGGGGCTTCCCAAAAGTCAGAGCCTCACTGACCCACTCTGCTAAGCCACTAAAAGGCGGCAAGCTATCTCCACGGAATGTGTACATGCCCTTGTCCAGGGATCCGGGACAGGATAGTCCTGGGAACCAGGGGCAGGGCCAGTCACCTAATTCAAGTGCACACTGAAAATGCAGACCACTTGGTGCAGATATATAAATTTCAAAACAGCAATAAGAGTGCGTTAAACCAAGTGCGGGACTGTCCTGAGTGTGGGGCTCCGGATCCCTGCACAGCTTCCACAATTATAAATCAGCCTTCGCTGGGGGCCAAGGGGAAACTCCTCATGCTTTAGGATGCACAGCCCTGTCTCCTCATCCCTCCCCCTAACACACACCATCCCGTGGCCCCTGAAAAATGACAGCTGCAGGTGGGAGTAAAGAGGGTAGAAGTACGAAGAGGCAAAGGATGAAAGAGAAAGAGTTAGAGAGAAGGGCGGAGAGAAGGAAAGAAGAGGGGAACAGAGAAGCAGAAATGTTGGGAGTGTGGAAAGAGGCAGAGGGCGGGGGAATAACAAGCGTTCCAGAGGCAGATGATAGGTAGGTAGAGACAGACTGATTGGTTCCAACACAGAGAGAACAGAGGAAAACGAGGAAATAACATGAGGCGTGAAGGGCCGTGAGGGAAGGTGGTTCTCAGAGACAAAGATGGGTTAACAAAGATGGGGAAGGGGGACAAAGAGGAGGAGGGGGCTCCGTGTTCCACCCGACCCAGGACTCAGGGGAGGGGAATGAGACATGAGCTTCTGGCATCAAACCTCAGTGATTGCAATGAACAGGATTTTAGTGCGACATCTTAAAAACCAAATTTAATAGGGGAAAATCCATGACAAGCAGGTTATCCCAATTTTAGATATAAGGGGCCAGTACCAGGCAGTGCTGAACCATATGGGAGCCTAAGGCAAATGGAAAATTGGGTGAAATGAATCGTTTCTTATTGAAAACTCCGATTATTTTGTGCATTGAGGACTTTTGCACAGATTTAAAAAATATATTGCATTGGAATAAGATTCATCTCAGTCACTGAGTGTTTGGTGCCCCCTTAAAGTTTGCGCTTGATGCCCTGGCTGGTGAGGCTCAGTGGGTTGAGCGCCAGCCTGTGAACCAAAAGGTTGCCGGTTCGATTCCCAGTGTGGGCACATGCCTGGGTTGCGTGCAAGAGGCAACCACACATTGATGTTTCTCTCCCTCTCTTTCTCCCTCCTTTCCCCTCTGTCTAAAAATAAATAAATAAAACCCTAAATAAAAGAAAAGGTTTGTGCTTGAAGCCAGTGCCTGCCTCCCCTTTCCCCTAGGTCCCCACCCCATCTCTCTGAACTCCAGTCCCTCCCCTTCAACTTAATGTCCACCCCCCAGGGCCCCCCCAGCATCCCCCCTCCCAGGCTCCCACTCCGAACGAAGCAGAGAACTGAGTAGAGAACAGGAAAGGGAGACTGGTCAGGCGCGAGGGAAGTCTCGGCAGCCGGGTCGGGGCCCCGGCCTCTGGATGGAGAAGAACACAGACTCTGGGTTAAGAGGAAGCAGGACCCAGGGCCGGGGAGGGCGTGGGGTCTCACATTGCAGGCGTTGGACTTCGAGTTGGGGATGCCAGCGCATAGCATGGATTTTCCCAGCAGGTCCTTGTAAACCTCCTTGCAGTCCTGGGAGGAAATGAGCTTGACATTCGTACACATGAGCTCCGATGGAAAGGTCACTGTCGAGTGGGGAAGAGCAGTCGGTCAGAGGCCTGGGCTTGGGGATCCCCAGGTGCTGGTGGAGGGAGAGTGTGGGCCCTGGACCTTGACTTAAGAGAGGGCCGGGGAGGACTCAATACTATGGTCATGGAAAGATGTTTACCTCCTGGTCCCCAGGGGCTGGGGGACAACGGGGCTGGGGGCCTGGACGCCAGGGTCACTGGGCATCCTCACCATCAGGGCTGGTGGTGGTGCCCCAGCCAGAAACGGTGCACGTGGTCCCCGGCGCATCACAGCGGGAGGGCAGGTTGATTCTATTCACAGTGGAGGACAACCTGGCTGTGCGGCTTAGCTTCACAAGCATGATGTCGTTGACGTGGGTCTGTGTGGAGTAGCCGGGGTGGACAAAGGACTCTGTGGCCTTGATCCTCTGGGCTCTCCTGCTGTCCAGACGATTACTACCCATGTGCACATTGTAGTCACTGGGAGAAGAGAGACACTGTCACGGAGAGAGGGGGACAGAGATCCCGAGAGAGGGGAACAGGAATGGAGAGAGAAGGGGACAGGGGCCCAGAGGGAGAGCTGGAGATACTGCGGCTCCCTGTCACATACCTCATCTGGCAGTGGGCGGCCGTGAGCACCCACTGCTTGTTGAGCAGCACGCCTCCGCAGTGGAGCTGATTGCCTTTGAGCAGGGCCACCTGCCAGGGATGGGAGTCACTTGGACATGGAACTCCATTAATAATTCGATCCTCGTTATCCTGCCCTGGATGGAGACGTGGAGAAAAACATGGGTAGCAAGCATGCAAGCAAAGCCGAGGAATCGGCTGAGAGATTGGCAGAGACTCTGATGGACAGAGACAGACAGACAGACAGAGAGACGTGGAGAAGGGCAGAGGCCGCTGCAGGCAGAGGCGGAGGGAGCCTGCTCAGGACCCAGGGGAGCGTCTGGGCAGGAGGCGACCCCAGAGGGTGATGGGAGAGACACTGAGGGCAGGAGGCAGCCTGGGGGGCACGGAGACCCCAGCAGTGAGAAGGAAGGAGGAGGAAAGAGGCCTGGCAGGAGGGTCCTGTCTGCATGGGAGGAAGCGGCTGCAGGGGGCGGGGCCCTGGCTCAGGAAGGTGGGTGACTTCAAGGCCCAGGAACAAGGTCAGGCCTCCCAGTCTGCCTCTCACCTCCTTGTCTAGCAGATCCCAAGGCGAAGGACAGCAGCAGGATCAGCAGGGTGGAGAGAAGGGGACCGGCCATGTGTTCTCTCGGAGTCTCTTCTGCTGGGGCTGGAAAGACAAAGAGGTCAGGAAGCAGGAGTTTTGGTCCCCAGGCCCTTCTGCTCCCTCAGACCCAGGGGCCCTGGTCTGCACCCTCCTCCTCCCTCAGACCCTGGAGCCCTGGTCCTGAAACAATTCTCCCAGACCCAGAAACGCTGTCCCTCAGCCTCCTTCTGCCTCAGACCCCAACACCTCCCTCCCTCGCCACATCCTCCTCCAGACTCAGGTTCTCAACCTGCAGATCCCCTTCCTCTGGGATCTAAGAATGCGGCTTCTCGCCCCTCCTTGTTCATAAGTTGGTTCCCCCAGTTTTGTTTTTCGGAGAGATCCGAAGTTCCACCTCCAGCTTCTCCCCTCTTCCAACCTGGCCTCCAGGCCCCCGCACCGTGTCCCTCCGTTCAGGAGCAGCAGCCAGCTGGCCGGCCAGCAGCCCCTCCTGCCCTCCGAAGGCCCCTGCTCACCTGCGGCGCGGGTCTGACCTGATCTGGGCTCCACTCTCGGTCGGGAGCCAAGCCTGCCCAGCCCCGTGCAGGGCGGCCGTCTTATAGCATGCCGCCCCCGCCCCCGCCCTCGCGTCCCTGTCCTCGGGTGCAGGTGGAGCCAGCTCTGAGACACCCCCTTCCTGAACGTGCGGGTATCCCGCAGCCCTGAGGCAGCTAAAGCAATAGGCCTGCACTGTCTCCACCCTCCCCCCTGAGGCTGTGTGGGGGCGGTACCCAGCTGGACACCTTGCACATTCTGTCCCCAGTGGCAGCTACCCAAGGAGGGGCCAGGGGCTGGCGCCCAGGGGCAGGAGCGGGAATCAGGGACCTGCCAGCTCAGGGGTGGACTGTGGCCTGGTTCTCCCACTTTGGCCAATGTCCTTGCTTGCACCTCCTGTCATGCGTGGTCTAAACCCTACACCCCAGCTCTGCTCAGCCTGTGGGAACTTTTCCCGACGGAGTCCCAGACGTGTCTTTGAGCCTGAACCCAATACTCACTCTAATATAGGGGCTTTTCTAACTCCATCCCGTAAATGTTTACTGTTATCACTTAGTTGGTGTCTCATATTGCACACAGATTGCTACACATACCATAGATTTGTAACCAAAATATCTGTACAAACATTATTTAATATACCCTCCTATCTACTCTATAAAATATCCTGAACAATTGTTTCTCTTGGTGCATTTAGGTCATTTTTCCTTCTTTTATACTGCTGTGTAATATTCTACACTATGGGTTTTGTTTTTTTTTCCCCCTGATTTTATGTGACCTGTTTCACATTGAAGTGTGTTTGAATAGTTTTCATTGTGACAACGGTGGGAGGCATTTCTTTGTATGTTCATCTTTGCTCATTGTTTCCTTTCAGTCATACCCACTGAGCCGTTTGCTCTGAGCCACAATCTGTCCCGACCCCTGAGGACACGACACTACCCAAAGAGCAAAACGCCCCTCACAGAAGCCCTCGTTCCAGTGGGTGGAAACCTCAGGTAGCAAAATAAAAGCTTAAAATATACAGTTGGTTTTCTTCTTTCTTTTTATTAAATTTCTTGCCTGACATTGGTTAAGATTATACAGGGTGGGGCAAAAGTAAGCTTACAGTTGTTTGTTTGGAAAATAACACACCAACTAATAAAGAACAGCGCAAGAACAAACTGTTTCAAGTACTCACAACTGGAAACCTGCGTAAGTTTCACGTGTGCATTTCTATGATACGTGATCTTTGTGTTGCATTCTGTGCCCACCGCCCAAAGTCAAATCACCTTCTTTCACTGTATATTTAACCCCCCGAGTTTTTGTTTGTTTGTTCCTTTGTTTTACATTTCATATGAGTGAAATAATATGGTTCTTGACTTTTTCTGTCTGCCTTATTTTGCCAAGGATGGCATTCTCAAGACCCATCCATGCTGTATCAAATGGCAGTACTTCGTCTTTTCCCATGGCTGAGTAGTAGTCCATTGCATGTGTGTGTGTATATATATATATATATATATATATATATATATATATATATATCACATCTTCTTTATTTAATTGTCTATCAAAGGATACTTTAGTTAGTTCCATGTCTTGGCCATCATGAGTAACGCTGCAATGGCCATAGCGGTGCATGTGTCTTTGTGAATAAATGTTTTCAATTCTGGGGGGTAAATACCTGGAAAAGGGATTGCTGGGTCATATGGTAACTCTGTCCTTAATTTTCCATAGTGGCTGTACCAGTTTAACAATGGACATATGAGGCAATTCTGGAGCAGGACAAGAATTCTCCGTTACTGTATTCGATGGTGTCCTTTCTGGATGTAAATTCTGAGAGTGAGGCAACCCTCCTGGAACCATGGAAGGAAGTGGTTGCGAGAAAAAGTCATAGCTCTACAGATGACCGAGTGGGAGACGAAGATAATTAGGGTCTTTGGTGAGGTAGCTGAGCTGGTGAATTAACGCTCCATGGAGCTCTTTCATCTCACGTCGTCTTCATGCTTCCTTCCTGGTCTGGAGATTTTTTTGTTTGTTTGTTTCCACAGCCCAGCCAATCTCTTCCTTACTGAGACCTCAATGTTGAGTCCAAATATCATGTCCGAACCCAAATCCTGTCTTAAACCATGAATGGAAACCTAATTCAAACTAGAATCTCCATGTGGGATCCCAATGAACCCACCCTATCTCAGCAGTAGCTCATTCTCCAGACCTTCTCCCACATCCTCTCTGAGACCCAATCCTCTACACACTTGTGAAATATGAATCGAGCCCCAGCTACTACACACCAGCCTGGTTTAGGTGCTGAGGATCCAGTGGTGGTCAACTCTGGGCACGCAGAGTCCCTTTCTTCAAGGAACTGACAGTCTGGTGGTGAAGAAAAACTAATCAAATCATTGATAAACCCATGTAAAATTATAACTACAGTAAAGGGGCAGAGGATTATGAAAGCACTTACGGGGGTTTTAAAACCTAAAACGTAACAAAGAGCTCAGAGTGCAAAGAACGGTAAGTGTGAACCAGAAACAAATGGTTGGGGCCGGGAACGGGTCATATAGAGAAAGCAGCAGGTGCAAAGGTCCTGAGATGGAGTGAAGAACCGACGGAGCGTAGAGAACAGAGGTCGTCTGGAACGGGGAATGAAGGACTTGGCATGTAATCGTGAGTCGGACTTCAACTTGTGGACAATGATGAACCACCTGGGTCTTAGTCAAGGGAGTGACATGACATGATTTGTATTTTCAAAATATCCATCTGGCTAGTTAAAGTCCATCCATGAAGGACGGCTTTTAAGGGGTTGGGGAGACATGAGGAGGCCATCGCTATTGTCCACGTGAGACGTGATGGTAACTGGGATAAGGTTATTGGGGAGGTGGGGATGGTGATAAGTGAATGGTTCAAGATGGATTTAAGAGAGAATATCAACAGGCCATGGTCATAGATTGAATGGAGGTGGTGGTGAAGTGGATGGAGGGGTTAGGATTCAAGGTTTCTTGCCTGGCGGGCTGTGGTGCCATTCTTTGAGAGGGCACGATTAGGTATGATTAAGAGGGTAGGAGAGGGTGAGAAATATTGCAGTCTTTGACTTTCTACATAATTCCAACTCTAATCCTTATGTTGATGTGTCCCAACACCTATCTCGACACCCGCCTGAGTTTCAGCGTGGAAGCTGAACTCGGAGGTAATTCTCATCTTCAGCGCTGCATTATACTTGACCAACCCCAACGTATACCTCAACCTGGAACCTACTTCATGGCCAAGTTACTGGGTCAAAATATTAACAAGCTACATCTCACACCTCCACCAACGTTAATCCTGACTGTTGAGTTGAACCCCGAACCCCTAACCGTAAGTCACAACCAACCTTGACCCAAACACTGGATATCACTGTAGTTTCAGTCCCAACCGTGGCCCATGTGCAACTCAGACTTTAGTCTCGATCCTTGTCATCCACGTTGACGTCTTCCCTGTGAACCCATCTCCAATAGACTTCTGACGCCAATCCCAACACCTGAGCCCTATCTTGCACCAATTCTCATTCTCAACCCAATTTCCACCTGAAATCCCGTTCTTATTTTCATTTCCAATTTTACTCCGCCCTCTTCATGAACTCCATGCATCCCCTGGATCCTTGTTTTATGGAACTTGTGATATAAAGTCTACCAACTCCTGGTCAGGATGGTGAAGTAGGTAACTGTGCTCGCCTCCTCTCAAAATCATATTAAAATTATAATTAAGTTATAGAATAATAGTCACTGAAAACCACTTGAAGACTAGCTAAACAGATGTCCTACAACTGGAGACATAAAGAAGAAGCCTCATCAAGAACAGGAGAAAAGGCAGAGAAGTGCAACGAGGAGGTACAACAGGGACAGTGTGGTGATTAGAATTGGGGGAATATCTTGGTTGCAGAAGTTCCCCCTAAGGAACGCGGGGTCACAGCCCCATACAGCCCTCCCCAGCCTGGAGCATCAGTGCTGGGAAGAGGAGTCCCTATAACATGTAATTGTCAAGACCATGGGGGCGGGTTTTGTGTTAGAAAGACAAAGTGCTGCTATAGATAGAAAAATGCCTCCTTAAAGGGTCTCCCCACAGACTCAGTGGCTCACAAAGTCATTTGCTCTTTAGTATAGGGCTAGTGCCTCAGAATTTGCCAGGGAAACACAGGGAAAAACAACATTGACTAATCAGGGTGAGGGCTGGAAAGGCAGGGGACAAGGCCACTCTTTCTAGGGACAAAAGTACTGGCAGACACCACTGTTTATTTGTTGAACTCTCCTTCTACCCAGCTACCCTGGTGCAGGCAGGCACCGAGTCTGACCTTGGTCTGCACCCGAGCCCCACCCAAGAGGCTCCAGTCCCAACACATCTAGTAGCTGGTTTCAGATCCCACCGATGCACCATCCCATGAGCTCCACAAATGTTAAACCTGCTGCAATGACTTCTGCTCCATGGGGTCGGCTCCTGCGCCACAGTTCATCTGCTGCGGCCACGGCCAGCCCGCTCAGGCCGTCAGCCTGCAGG